TGTGTGTGTGTGTGTGTGTGTGAAAGAGAGAGGGAGAAAGAGAGAAAGAGAGAGAGAGGATTGATTTTTTTCTGTATTCTCTCCTGCAAAATATTCGTTTCTGGGCCTTGGACAACGGGATGGCCTGCTGATGCAATATTATTTTCTTTGAACGAAGCATACCGTGTAAAACATAAATATGAACTTGATTTGGATGCCACTGCAATATGACGTGAACGTTTTAGTGATGGTGAAGTCTTTGTTGTTTTTGTTGGGATTTTTTAAATTTCTCTGGTTTTCCCGATCTTTCTTGAGCTTCTCCGAGCATTTCCGAGTTTTCCAGAACTTGCTCGATCTTTCGCATACTTTTCCGAGCTTTCCCATACTTTCCGCAGTTTTTTCCGAATCAAATTATAACTTCAGGCTTGTATCTCCTTTACAAATCTTGTTATCAAGGAGGTAAAGCCATAATTTGACTTAACGGTCAAGATTTCTCGCAGCTATTTCGGGGATGATTCAACGTTGATGATGAAGCGTACAAAGATGAGCTTGTGTCGCACATCTGCTGTCCTTATGTCGCGCGTTGAGTTGAGTAGAACTTAGAGCTTTTTACTAACACCTTAACCCTTTCACTGCCAGACCCTCCCCTGACTGCCCGATGCAGTCTCGGCTCGGACAAGGCAGTGAATGGGTTAACCCTACCATAACCACCCAGTAGCTTAGAATAGTGCGCTTGAATGGCTTCAGCTTCGATGACTAATGCCCCCCTACGCTTCACTAGCAATGGTTTGTTTCTTGTGGCCTTTCCACAGATCCTAACGTGCAGAGCTCCGCAGCACCAATGCAGCCGCAACCGCAAACAAAACCACAACAACAACAACAACAACCACAACAGCAACAGCAACAACAACTATTACAAAAACAAGAGCAATTGCAAGCTTCTCAATTACTAGCTTCTCTGCAACAAAAAATCCGACAGAACATGCAGTCAGTCGTTAAACCTACCCCAACGCCTCCTGCTTCCACACAAAATACTCAACAACAACAACAGCAACAACAACAACAACAACAACAAAACACTAATCCTACCAAAGCCTCACAACTACAAGCCACCCTCTCTCCATCTCCTAGTCCGACTCCCGCTCCCCCCTCCGCTTCTCCCTCTCCCTCTCCTTCCTCTACCTCCTCTCCCTCCTCTCCCTCCTCTTCCTCCCCCTCCTCCTCCTCCATTCTTCCCTCGCAACCTGCAACACGACCTGGTGCTAGTGGAGTAGACATAGACTTGGGACACTGGGGGAAGATCGCTTCCTCCTCCTCCTCTTCATCATCCTCGTCGTCACCCTCCTCTGGGAGTCCAGGCTCAGCCACAGGTCAGTTAACTCAAAGCAACCCCTTCTCATTTCACAGTGTTACAGAGCCGTTTAAAGACTATGCCAGCCTCATCCTCCTCTTCCTCCTCCTCCACCACCTCTCGAAAGACACCAACATCCCCAACATCTCAACCAGCCACGGCGGTATCGTCTGCTGCCGCTGTGAAAAACGGGTCAAACTTAGAAACTCTAAGGGCTCGTCAACGAGCAATACAAGCCGCCATATTAGCCAGGAACAACGCCTTAAGGAGAGCAAGAATGCAAATGGTCAGGTTGCCAGCTGGGACGGCAAACGTACAGACGCCTGTGATTGGTCGGAATCCTGGAAGTGCTATTGGGATAGGGACTCGAACTTTTCCTCCTGGTGTTGCTACTAACAGGGCGATGATGGCGAGCATGAGAGCGGCTAGACTTCAAGCAGCTTCCGGTCAGATGGTAGGGAATTTGGGGGTATCACGCGGGGGATACAATATCCCCACAACACCCAATAGAATGTTAGGAACTTTCACAGGAATGAGAATGCCGAATACTGCATCTAATTTTACGGGATCCACTCAAACCTCTGTAGCTCAAAGTAGTATTAGAACTCCAAATTCCCAAACAAGGTTAGTCTCCCCAAGCAGAACCTCTGACCTTGGTAACTCGTCCTTGAGCGCTTTTCTAGGTTTGTCTCCGACACAGCTGTCGTCTCGCGTAGGCAGTAGTGTACCCACATCAAGTCCCAATAGAGGTTCAGAAACGTTAGGTTCCATTCCTGTGACAGGGACTCTTTCAGCTAGCAGTATAAGCCCGACTGCAGTACAACAGCCTACGGGTGGCTCAACTAACGCTAGAAACCAGATTACCTTTAGTTCTGTAAACCCAACTGGTGCTACCAGCCAAAACGCTGTAAACCCGGTGGAAACACTTTCACCAAAACCCAATATGGCATCATCTTCCGCTGCTGCTTCTGCTGCTAAATCTCAGAGAGTAAGACAGTTGTTAGCCAGGTTAGGTCAACTGACGAGGAAAGTGCAGTCTCTCCCCGTGCGATCTAATGCCGCCCCAAACCCCACTTCTACTTCCCACAGCGGCTCTACACAGCAAAGTCAAAGCGGTGGTTTTCATTCGTATTCCTTTTTGCAAGGACAAAGTAGTGCTGCTTCGAATTCGAGTAGTTCTTCTCAAAGACAAAGTAACCCATCAACCTCTTATAATAGCGTTCCTCGAGATTCCAGCTGGCTTCAGACCGTAGCGTGGCCGACTGGGCAACAAGGTCCTCAGGGTCCGCCCAAGTCTCCAAACCTCCAGGGAAGACCGGCCGGATGGAGGTACACCACGACGCATCCACCAGCGACACAAGCCCCACAGCTCGGGCCAAGTTCTCCAGTCGAAGCAACAATGTCAGCGGGGGGTGGACAGTACGGAGGAGCTTTGGCTACGGCCAGTTTGACGTCATACAATCAGGGGAGGTCGTTTTCCTCCTCCTTGTCAAGCAGCCGTTCCTCGTCACCCTCCTCTTCAGTTCAGGCTAGACCGAACCCAGCTGGAAACGCTGCCGCAAAGAAAGAAGTTGTCCCTATTCATCAGTATTTAGTTATTCCTCCCAAACCTGTCGACCCGGAGGCTCAGAAAAAAGAACTAATCAACCAGATCAAATTCCTAACGACAGAGATCAAGCGAATGACAATGGAAGCGAACAACAGCTCATTGACAGACACAACTTCTGCAATGGGTGGAGTTTTAGAAGGGGGCGGAGCTTTACCAAGCCAATTAGATCTCCTTATGAGGACAGCCGGGGGCTTTGTCCCTGAGGCGCATGGTGGCTTGGATAGATTATTCCCCGGTGTCGGTGTTGGTGGTTATGGTGCAGCTGGTGCTGGTGCTGGTGTCGGCCCCGCCCCCAGTAATCCTTTGTCCATGAATGACTTTATGGGACCTCCTGCCTTAAACGACTTAAGGTCTGGGCCCACAAATATTGTAGATACGAACAGTAATATTAATGCTAATAATTATGAATATAACAGTAATTTCAATCAATTTAATCCACCTGTTTCGTTGGGGCCTTCAGCAATGACTCAGAACGTTCAGGATGTCAATCAATTAATCACTTCCAATTATGTCACGCCCCCTCCCACCATGAAGACAGAAGCCCCGCCCCTCCCAACCTTTCAAGACGTTTTCAGAGATATCACTAAGGAGCAGCATCTCTCACAAGTCTCTGCTTTCACCATTCCAGATTATGCCGCTGGCCAGCCGCAGTCTAAAAGTCCCGCCAAACCGAAACCCAGCCCGTCCCAGCTCAAATCTCTACTGGGAAAACTCGCCTCCAAACTGGTGGACAAAGCTGCAGGGGCAGCAGCAGTGCCAGCCGCTAACCCCGCCCAAATGTCGTCCAGTGGCACGCCCACTTCATCGCAGTATGCCAATCAGCTGCAGCCTACAGCGGGGCCGACCGGCGCGCAGTCCAATCAGGGCGCTCAAAGCGGGATGGGCGGGCTGCTCGACCTTACGCCCCAGCAGCAGCAGCAGATGGGGATCAGAGGTTGGGGGCAGCACCACCACCACCACCAGCAACCTCCTCAATGGCCTCCTCAGCAGCAACAGCAGCAACCACCTCAAGCCGGCCCGAACAGCCAGTGGTCACAGCAGCCACCCGTTGCCCCTAACAACCAACTGCCACCACCACAATCCTCTCAACAACAGCAAAATGCTCCGGCTGTAGACCTGTCCTGGCCTGGTCCCGGCGCACCCCAGCAAGGGCCCCTTCAACAAGGAGGCCCACCTCAACAAGGGCTGCCACCCATGCAGGGATCCAATAATAATAACAACAACCCCCACCAGCATCAGTTCGGAGGACCCCCTCAACAGCTTCTGGATTTGCAATGGCCACCACCACCACAGCAGCAGCAGCAACAGCAACCATCACATCCTCACCACCACCAACAGCCACCGCCACAACAGCAACAACAACAACAGCAGCAACAGCAACAGCAACAGCAGGGACCACCTCCAGGGTGGCCTCAACAGACCCCCATGCCCCAGTGGCAGCCGCCGACTACGCCTGCACAAGGCCAAGGTCACTCGCAGTTTGATTTACAACAACTACAACAACAGCCACCACAACAACACCAACAACAACATCAACAACCGCCATATTTAGGGCAGTTCCCACCTCACCATCAAACACAACAACAACAACCACAACCACAAGCACAAGCACAACATCAAGGCCAACAGCTTCCTCTTCAGCTGGAGCCCCCGAATTTTAACCAGCCCATGGTTCCGAACCCGAACAGCCAAAGTCAGTGGCAAGAAAGGCTGGCCAACAAGCAACAGAGCACTACCCTCGTGCCACCTCTAGACCTCTCCAACATCAACTTGGGAGGCAAGCACACAAACCAAAAAACGATCACAAAACATCCAACAAACCTGTTCCCAGATTCAGCCACTTCCAGATTTATCCAGAATTCCACTAAAAAAGATGTCTAAATAATTGAGCTTTCGCTTTAATATTTGGCTGCAGATGATACTATACCGACTCCCCCCTGAAAATGATTTATAGGAGAACTACTCTAAGATCTGTTTTCCCTTTCTTCAGACATT